ATAGAAAAAGTTTGGCGGAGCTAGCTGTCACTGCTAGCTCCGCCCAATCATTTTCTCATTTTTCTCTACTTTTTCTATTCTGCTCGGTACCACAGAGGTACCGAGCAGAATAGAATAGCTGAGCCGAAGGGCACTCTCCGACAATTGGCTATTCACTCACTGCTGTTTGGGCCCTATGAGAATAGGCCGAACAGCAACGAGTAGCCTGCCGAGTAGCCTGCACTTCGGCCGACCCGAAACCAGCCGCAGAAAGCCGTTGTACGGCTGATTTCAGTCGGTGTACGGCTGAAATGAATAGCCGAACGGATTTAGTTTCTGAATGGGGAGGAGCCTCTGTAGTGAGTGCTAGTCCCCATTCATAAATTCTTGAATGAACAGGCTGTGATGTAGATCGCAGCCTGTTCATTCATAACTGGGCACACATAGTACTATGTGTCCCCAGTTATTTACAAACACCGGAGTGATCAGACGATCACTCCGGTGTTTGCTCTGCACAGAGGGATCGTTAAATATCATTGATATTTAACGATCCCCCGCTCGGCCACGCTACACAGAGCCGCTGTCCACCAAAAACCGGACAGGTTGACGGCGCTTCAGACCAGAAGACGCTCGGCCATCCTGAATTGCGGCCAGCCGCCGCTCGTTCCCGGGACCCCCCCGACGCCACTGACCCTACAAGCAGTGGGGATCCATGGAGTCTCTCATCCCTCCCTGGGATGGCTCCAGAGAGGGATGAGAGACTCCAGATGCCGGCGGCTAAAGCGACCATCAGCTTATAGTAGAACTGTAAATGCCAGGTCCGTGCGGCATACTGAGCTGGCCAGCTGGAAGCACTTTTGTAGGTCCGTATGCCATACGTCCTTGACAGCGAAAGGGGTAAAGAAGAGCGCTGGCCCTGAATTTACAGATTACTCTACACCAATGTCACAGGAAATGAAAGTGAGAGCAAATCCAAAACTTTATCCCAGAGCAGAAGTAGAGGAGAAATTGGTTTCCGTAACAACTGCCTAAGAGGGGATTTGCATCACATTGGAAAGATATTCTCTCACTTCCTGTTGAGTCTACAGGACAGAAAGCAAAAGGAGATCTCCTTAGTGATACACATGGCAAACAAAAAAAAGACAGCAGGTTTTAACCCTTCCCAACTCAATCCAAAATGGAGTAGGGAGGCCTGTTGTGGTGTTTACTGTTAGGCGGGACATTTAAAATGTAAACAAATGGCTAACTGGTTTGATATGGTACTAAAAGCTTTGAAAGAAGAGAATATTTCTGCATGTCCACCTCTGGTTTAGACTTGTTTTACTGAAATCATGCAGAAAAACACCCATTCCCCGCTTCTGGCAACCTGGCTCTCACCTGGAATACAGAAGGCACAGCACAAACAGGACCAGGCCGATGATGCTCTGAGTATCCCACCACTGCAGGGACTTTATAGGCTCGGGTGTGGGACCTGCCGGGAAGGTCCCATTTGGAGGACTCAGTGTAGGAGCTGTAATCTTGTTCAGGATGGCCATCAAGCTTGGGTTACATGTACGATCTAAAAATCAGGAGAAAAAAAAACAACTGTGTGTTTAAAGAAGGGGAACAGACTGTCTACAATAAATATGAAATATGCAAAGAAACCGGACACACTGATGATGTCAGCCTCTTGTAGTCCCACCTAGGACTTACTCTCACTAACGCATTTTACCCAGAAAGCGAGTAGAAGAAACAAAATTTGTGGGTCAAGAGACCTACATGGTGCTCTAAGCTGCCTCCTACATTTAAAGGAGACATCAAAAACTGGGATAAAAGCCCATATACACATAACTTTGGATCTTCCAAGCTACGAGCAATTAACACCGAGCTCCAAAATGTCCTTTCACATAACACAATAACCGCATGTTGTTAAAGTGAAAATCCAGCCAAAACTTCAAGAACACTTACCAGGCTCATTGGATATGGCAGACCAGGTCAGGTAAACGGTGTACAGGGTAATCACAGAGGACTGAAGGAGCCCAGAGCGTGGTTGACCTTCCTGCAATACACAGAGCAAACACGCATTATTTCTGGCATTGCCAAATTTAGTGACACATTACTGCAAATTATATGCAAGATGCTGGGTAACTGACAAAGATTATCTGGCTTTATTGGTAAAGCAAAGAGTGATGTGCATGGTGTAGTACCCCATAGTACCTAACCTGTCAGTAGGTGGACTGCAATGGGTTACCATCACACCCGGCCAGCTTTCTTACTTTAAGCCTTTATAAAAGCAGCCAGGCTATAGAGCTACAACCTAAACGTCTGTGTATTACAGCATAGACATCAGTACTAACCGACTCAGTGCTGCACAAGAGGAGCACTTTGGGCTTTGCGGCTCCTGAGGGAAGGTGGCGGTGGATGGGGGGGTTTGTACAAGGTACGTGATCATTATGTATGAGCCTCTTATGTGCTTTTCAACTCTGCAGACAGTTAAGAAAAATGAATATACACAGGATCACTTCACACAGTACTGCTGAGATGTGCTGCCAGGACTGAATGATACAGTTCATGGCACCATTCAGTACTGGCAGCACATCACAGTGGTACTGCCCTTGCATGCTTTAAGAAGTGATCTCTTTTGCCCTACAGCTACCAAGCCATGCCAACTCCTGTGGACTGTACCTGAACTTTGGGAAGGATTGAGATGACCGATACGATCAAGCAGAGGATCATGTTGAAACTGATGAAGAATTTGTTCATAGCACAATCCCCAGGCACAGTGTAGAATACATAGAGGAGGGCGAAGAATGTTATTGATGCAATGTACAGCAGGCCGGTGACCGACAGCAAGACTAGAAGATACAAAAGGAGATTATCTGATACATATCCAACAGATAGAAATTCACAAACGCTGAGAGAGTTCAAGGGTTGTGTCATCGAAGGTTGAAGTATGGAATCCCTTTTAGCAGATAAGCTTTATATACAGCTGTATTTGTACTCATTAGCATTACATTCCTCTCTTATAACTAAGGAATCAGTTGGAAGATATGTTCTGTAGAAAGGCTATGGCATAAACTAGCATGATTTGCTACCATTTCCTGCACTGAGCATGCATATGTATGCCTTGTGTGACATCCCTGACTCAAACCTGATGGCTGTAAATTATTGGTACCAACTGTTTACGATACTGGTTGACCTAAAAGTGGCTGCCAGACATCTGTTGCCTCATTCGGCAAAAATCGTTTTATGTCTGGTTCCTTCATGCTGACAAGAATGAAGAGATCAGGTAGCTCAGGCTCCTCTGCACTTTCAAAGACATCATCTTGGCACTGGAAAATTGCCATATAAGCAAAGCAACAGGTTCCTCTAGTATTCCTCTGGCATATCATTAGCTTCCAGGAGTGCTTCGTAATATCCTAATCTATCCTTGTTAGAACTCTCCCAGGACTGAGGAATGCTTCCTCATCCCCGCGTGACAGCACCGGCCAATCGCTTAGCACTAGCATGTCACATGATCCCATACCTAGAAGTCAGCTCTGCTTAATCCCAGTGAATGAGGTGAGCAAAGGGATGGGGGGCATACAAAGAAGTAGGTTAAAGTTAACCTGTTACTATGCCCTGCGTAACAGAAGATATGTTCACTTTAAATCTGTGGTTTTCCATCCAACAACTCTTTTAGCAGTCGATTTCCACTGACATTTTTCTCCATTGTCTTAAGGTGATAGAGTTTCATAAGGCTACATACAGATCAGATGTCCCTTATGCTTAGATGGGTTTCCTGCACATGATACTTGAATGAGATGGACCCAGAAACATGACCTCAATGTGCAGGATATTGCACTTGTACCTGACACTTCTGCTTGCACTCAAGCCATCTAGAAATGTATCTACACCAAGGGAATGTGCCGTGCTTTGCTCTGTCTCACATACGCTTATATATAAAAACACGCTGGAGTAAGTTGGAATAATTGGCAGTGTGAACCTTGTCTAAACTAAACCCTTGTAAAGCAAAAAACAAAAATTGTATTTCAATGTAAACCTGTATAACCTCTAGTGTGATACGTACCTGCATACCAGCATTTGGAATTCCCCTCGTCCATGCGCTCCACCCAGGACTCATTCCAGGAATGCGCAAAGTCCACAAGCAACACCAACTGGATGAGGATGAAGGAAAAAGCCCCTCCTGATCCAAAGACAAACCAAGCTAGAGTGGGGGAAAAGGAGACCACATATTAAAGAGTAACTCCAGTCAAAAAATAGATCAGCATTTTTTTCTGAGCAGCCAGTCCTTAGTTTTATCAGCGCCCAATGTTTTCTATGACTTGCCTTACCATGAACTGTGTGATACTATTTTCTAAGTCTGATGATATTTCTGTAAGTGACCGTAACATGGCCGTGACTTTTGACCAAACTCTGGGTGCTGCCTGAACAGCAAATCTATTATGAAGCCCCGTCAGGGCTAACGCTAGCCCAGACTAAACTTACGGTCACTTCTTCATCACAGCCCCCAGTGGCATAAGGACCATTCACAGGTCAAATTTTGGGGGCTTGTAGTTCCCCTGCTGCACATGATCCATGGCTCACATGACCTGAAGCTGGCATGTTAGACCACGTGACCCTCCACGGCTCTGAATTGCGGGCGGCGATATCATCAGTGTGTTCTTTCCCTGAAGATCCTGTGGACATTGGAGCTCCTGTGTACTGCGGTTCTTACACTTCACGATCCTATCACCCGGTCTCACTAAAATAGTTCATGTATGTGTTAACTTTTCAGGAAACAGATGGATCTATATGTTTCTGAGTAATAAAGGGAAGGGGTGATTGTGATGGGCTGAGAGAAGGATCAGAGGAGGACACTATTAGAGGCTGGATAAGAACATGAGGAAGCTCCAGTGAGGTCAGAGTAGAGACAACAGTGAAGATGAACAGTGAAGATTCCAGATTTGGAATCAGCACCCCAAAATGACCTTAAAACCGTTGGAATAGCTTATGCCAGAAAAAGTGTGTTGACCAGTGTAATCAATGATAACCAAACAGGTCATTTTTACTTACTTCTAGTAAAGGGTCCCTCTGGAATGTAGAAAGCTCCCACCATTATACCAACAATGGCCAACACTTTAAAGAACCAGAACCTGTAACAAAATCAAGTCCAATAAAACATTATCAAAGTGACTGAAGAAAAAGTTGCCTTTGTTTTAACCTAGGAGCCACTTTACAAGGTTGACAGAATGACAAGAATTTAAAATGAGAGAAATGTGAAACTTTATTTACCACGTGGTGGACAAAGAAACAAGAAAATTACAGTGTATTAAAAGTAAATGTCATCCGGATACATACAAAATATACAGGTATTAATATTGACAGAAAGTAGTCACATCAAACCGGTGCAATCCTACTCCAATCATCTCTCAGGTTTTTTTTCTGGAAGATGATTGGGGAAAGTTTGCTGATTTTCTCACACTCCCATTTTAGGCTGTGCTCACATTGGCGGTTAAAGGAGAGGCTTGGGAGGTGGTCCTGGACCCGGAAAGAGAAGGCATATACAGTGTACTGAGCTGAATGGCTCAATACACCTGCTAGCCATTGGGTGGCATTGTGTTTAGTTGTAGCATTCTATGTACTCCAAAGCTCTTTGTAGTTCCTAATACAAGATCTGGTTAGACCTCTGAACATAAACTATTACCATTTTTTGTCTCCTTGGTTTCTGAAGCATGTAGTGGTGCCAACGTGCCAGTTGGTTGATTTCCGGAAGCAGATGCCTAGAATGATTTGGTCTCTGTGCCCGTCCTATCATAAGAATAGAAGTCTGTGCCGGCCTCATCAAGCTACCCATAACAGTCTTATACACAACGTGTAGGACTTCTAGAGGCATTTTTCTTATAAAGAAGGGTAGATGTTCTGTAGTTCTAACACATTGTCCTGGGGCCCTCCAGCTGTGGTGAAACTACAAATCCCATGAAGCATCTCTCTCCGAGAGTTATGTCTGTGGCTGTGAGAATCTTGCAAAGCCTCATGGGATTTGTAGTTCCACCACAGCTGGAGGGCTGCAGTTTGGCCATCCCTGTTCTAGGGTAACACCACTGCTCCTCCATAGACCCAAGGACAGGATGTAACATGCATGATCACAGATTGAACAATAAAAGGAGAACTAGTACAGCTAACACATCTAAGGACCTGCAAAACTGCAATATTTTGCAGTTTTGCATTATGCTTATTATGATACATTATCATCTATGTTCTGGGGTTTAGATATGCTTTAGGGTGTTGTTTTTTTAGAGCAAAGATGGCAGTATACAGACAGATCTGCAGGAAAGCAGCACACGAGGTGTATGTGGTACGACAGACAAACCTCTACTTACCCATTGTGTATTGCAGCCCGGGGGTCCTTGCTGGTCTTCACTCCAATCATGAGCAAGGAGAAGACTAGGAAGAAAAGGGTCATGGCGAAGCTTACGCGATACACAGCCTTATAACCGACCAGCACGTCACAGTCCACATAGCCATTAACACTGGGAATAGTTGTGCCACGGCCTCCTTCACAGAACCCCGGGATCTGCAGAATGTGAAAGAATATTACAACAGGAAAAGACTCTGCTTCTTCTTGGTTGCAGACAACAAACTAAACACCACACACCAGACAGTTTGATTTCAAAGGATCTCTATAAAATCTGCTAAGTATTAATTAGGTATTAGTATTAATTAGTACTCTACTAATTAGATACTTGTGTAGCCCACAAATAAATCAAAATTGGACATAACCCAAAACTGTATATTGGCAAAACAAAAAGGAAGACAGGTCCTCTTTCATGACATACTGCTGGCTTGCATTGTATATTCTGATGCATAGCTCTCCGAGTTATAATCTCCATGGGATAAACAAGAAGCATGCAAACATGTGATCAGAGGTATTAAGCTCGGGGCTAAATGCCATTACATATGCAGCATGTGACTAGCAGAAAAAAAAACCATTATGAGTTGATACTAGAAGGACAAAGACTAAAGATTGAGCTGTATACATGAACTCCTTGCTGCTAATTGCTACAAGGAGGAGTTAAACCTCAAACAAAGTTGTTTTATTCTTCTGTATTAGAAAAGTTCTCTGTATTCATTTATATTAAGCTGGAGTCTTTTGGTTTCTTTTCCATATAAACGTGTTCAATGAACACCCTAGAACCGAAATAGAATCTACCCTGTGACCTAAGCTGCTAATGAAGGCTGTGTATAGTAAAGGCCTGCACACACACAAGGTGTTACTATACATGCCAAGAAGTATAAATCAGCTTCATCACCTTCTTCTTATGAAAATTCCAAATGTCATTGTAATGATTCAGCTGTATTGCCGAGCTCAGCAATAATCAACAGGCTCATTACATTCCTCTAGTGCCGATGAGTGACTGAGGAGAGGATAAAAAGAGAAACCTAGACAATATATACTGTGAGCAGAGGCGTAACTAGAAATCACATGGCCCCAGAGCAAGATTTTGCATGGGGCCCCTTCGATCTCTAGTTACACCCCTTGCAGAGCCCAATTGAGATCCCACACAGCCCACCTGAGGGTGACCCTGCAGAGCCCACCATAAACTCTCCAAGGTGGGTTCTGCAGGTTTACCCTAAGGTGGGCTGGCCACACTCCTTACCTGTCCGCCTCCTCTTCCTCCACCGTCAGTGATGAACCCCGCCTCTTCCGCCCGTCACCGGGCCCTCCCCCGTCGCTGGGCCCCGTCTCCTCCTCTGAAGCCAACCCCGGCCCCCACCTCCTCCTCCACCGCCGCTGCTGGCTCTCACTGACTCAGCAGCGGCTGTGGAGCGGAACGTGCCCCTGCACAGATCACTGTCAGAGATCTGAACAGCGGCACATCTCTCTTCACAGCCGCCAGTGACATCCACCAGCGTGAGATGCCAAAGCGACCCAGACGGCCCGCAGGGCATCAGGAATGTCCTGGCCGGGCCCCCCTGTGCCCCAGGGCCCATAGCGGCCGCCTGGGTCGCTATGGTGACTGTTACGCCACTGACTGTGAGAATACAACAGGAGACCAAGTCCATAAATGAGACCAGCTTAAAGCTGAAGCCAATTTTGCCTTCCCCGATTCCTACTCATGATCATGCTAAGTACGATGTTAAAGAAAACCTGTTTGCACTACATATCATATTTTAAAGACAGTGATATCATCACTGGGTCTTTGTGCTTCTCCATGCAATCAGGCAGATCATGGCTGGTGAGAGGGGTCGGGAGGGTGCTGTACATAGCGTACTGAAAACAGGAAGCTGTGGTAATGCCCACATGTGATGCCGAGCTTCCATGATTGAAAGAACTAAAATACAATGAATGAGAGCGACGAGCTAGGGACAGTCAGGCTGCTGGGGGGAAAGGGCTACACGATGCTGGACAACCTCCAGCCTGGAAATGAGGCGGGCTCCATCTGAGGTGCTGCCACTTCTAATGCACATAGTGAGAAGCTCACAGTGTGCAGTGAAATCAGAGTAAGCTATTTTAGTTCTCACCATCCAGTGTGTTCATGTCACAGTTGTGACTGGATCACATTCACATTTCCATGCCATGAACGCACTGGATCACATAACCAAAGCTTTCCCGCATTCTGAGGCAGGAGGGGGGGTGGTTGTGCCATTCATTTCAATGGCACCGCAGACAAGCCTTCCACCCACAGTGCGATTGCCCACACCAGAACGCTTGATACAGCAATGCCCTGTGTTCCAGTGCGGTGCAATCACACTGCGGGCAAGAGGCATATCTGCGGTGCCAATTAAATGAATGGCACCGCTTCGCCCCTGCCCGCCCCAGGACGCGGGGAGGTTTTGATTATGCGATCCAGTGGGTTCATGACACGGAAATGTAACATGAACGCACTGGATGGTGTGAATGGGTCCTTAGTCCAGGAGAAGAGCCTGTACAACTGTGCAAGACTGAAGGGAAGGCCAGAGGTCAGCTTTAATTAAAGGAGAAAGTCATTAATAAAACACGTATGGCATCAGGTTATGTGCAGTCCTGCTGGACTACAGAACACATCCAACTTAAGTTATCGAGATGAGGAGAGAGAGAGAGAGGTATTCTGTAGTCCAGCAGGAGAGAACTAAGGCAGGGCTGACAACACTGCTTTGGTTTTCAATGCAGCAGAGGCAGTGTTGTCAGCTCACTACAAGAAGTTTGCTGGATTTCTAGCAGTTCAGCAGCTACTTTTTTTTACTTGCAGCATGGAGAATGTTTTAACATTATATAGTCAATATTCCAGAAAATAATACTGGATTTAGAAAGCTCCTCTACTGCTGTTTCCTGAAAACTACAGCCAGCCTCATGTATTAAACCCCATTCACACTGAGCGATTTGTAGCGTGATATCCGCTCAAATAATCGCTCAGCTCTAATCAACGCTTTTTTAAATGTAGCTCAGTGTGAATGGGGTGTTATAGACACTGCAAGCAGAACGCTGTGTTGCCCATGAAAATGTCTGTTTTGGGAATGAGCCTAGTTGGCCACCATTCGATAAATGACCTACCTTTTTCAGCTGGTCCGATATCCCGGGGGTGAGCATGAGGCAGGACAGGAAAGTGCCCAGCAACATTAGGAATGCATAGATGAGACGGGTCACCGTGGAGTTACCGGAGCTGGGGCAGCAGCGGCACAAGATACACGTGGCACCACTGCACAGGCATGGAATCTGCAACGAGAGAAGAGCCGTAATGAATGGTCTGCAGTTATGGTACGAGGACGGAAGGCAGCACTCACTACATAGAAGGGATTTTCTTATGTAAGCTTTGATTGTATTATCAGACACATCTCCACTATGTAATCCTATTACAATGCTGATGTCATAACAGGATAGTGTATGCTGGGACTTTACATCTCCTTTAATTCCCCCCAAGGTAGAACACAAAACTCTTTGTGGGCATAGCCCCACTGCAAGGATTAAGAAAAATGATTCCAAGAGTTCTGCTTTAAGGCAGTCCATTAAAAAAAAAACAATGCCAGGGATTCATTACTTGCTGTGTAGGGTATAGCCAACATCAGTGAATCTGCAAATAAAAAGGTTTTTCCTTATTCACCGATGTTGACTATATCCTCAAAGTATCTAATCCCTGGTGATGTGTTCCAGTTTTTCAGTCCATAATACTACCTGCCATATTTAACCCCTTAAAAGGACCCACAACAGAATTATTCCATCATGATTGTCCATGCCACAAGGACCCACAATGGGATTATTCCATCATGGTTGTCCGTGCCACAAGGACCCACAATGGGATTATGGCATCATGGTTGTCTGTGCCACAAGGACCCACAATGGGATTATTCCATCATGATTGTCCGTGCCACAAGGACCCACAATGGGATTATTCCATCATGATTGTCCGTGCCACAAGGACCCACAATGGAATTATTCCATCATGATTGTCCATGCCACAAGGACCCACAATGGAATGATTCCATCATGATTGTCCGTGCCACAAGGACCCACAATGGAATGATTCCATCATGATTGTCCATGCCACAAGGACCCACAATGGAATGATTCCATCATGATTGTCCGTGGCAAAATTACCCATGATGGAATAATCCCTTCATGGGTCCTCAAGGGTTTAAGCTTGTCATGCGCTAAATGGGAACTTCTATAGGTATGACTTGCATGTCACATCAATTTAATGCCCCTTTTTAGTCCTTTAAAAAAACCGAAATAGAACATGTGTTGGTGCAATAAATGAGAAAGATGGAAATTGTGGTTGAACACACACAGCAAAAATTCCTTTGGTCCTTAACTGAATGACAAGCATCTGAAGCTTGGTCCTTAAAGGGGTAAAGTCATGAAGAAGGGGGAGGTCTTCAAACCCCCGAAATGCGTTGGATGTTCTGTGTTGTCATTTAGGAACCTGTTTGCACTATTAAACCTTTTTGGACTCTCGCTCGGCCTTGTTTGGCCCTTTTATTTGATTGTATATAGGTGTATATCTTCAACCCTGTATTCCCTTGTATGTAGTATGTTCCGTGTTTGTTGGAAGCATCCTCACCGGAGCCATTGTGCTTTATCACGTTCCGACTGATTTTCTGAATACATGAATCCAGTGCCTCACATGTACTTTTTTTTTTTAAAGACATGCCACACAATTTTTACACAGCAACACAACATATATTGTTCGGGAGCTGCTCAAAATGAAGGGCACCATGCCAGCGCATGCAATGCACATTCCCCCAACGCACAGAAGTCAATCAGCAGTTCACCCCTTCAATATGCAGGCACACTAATATACTAATATTACATCCGGCATACATCTGGCATACAAAGTCATTCTCACACTGTGACATGCAGGCAGTTAGTGAGTCTCAGATGACCATTGGGCATGTGTACTCCGGGGTACACGTACTGTACATCTGTCGGAGAATCTCTTCTACCCGCAGAATATAACTTGAGTCTGCTGTTGGCATGGCTGTACTTCCTGTTTAATCTTTGCCAGTCAGAAGATGTCTCCTTGTCCAGATAAGAACCATCTGCTATTGCTGGACAAATAGATAAAAGGACCCCGGATCTGCCCTTTTATCTAGCAGCCAGCAGGGACAGTTACGGAACAAGAACGTCTCCTCGGCACGACTTTTACAGTTTATTTCGGCTTGTGTGATGGGGTCATAGGTCGCCTCTATCTAAACATTACTGCCCTGTAAATGGCCTCACCAAACAAATGTATGGGAAGAAGTCAGGACTTCCTGTATTCAACAATACCAGAGTGGTTCTGGGAGATTCAGCTTTAAATGACAGTGACTGATTCACCTCCAGTGAATGTTTGCAGTCAATGCTTTATAAAAAGGCCCCTAAAACACGTCATATGTGGCCGTAATGAAGACGGTAACACGCTTCCTCATACCATACAGGACTGACGTGTATGGAGGCAGCTAGATGGAATCTGAAGTAAGGAAACGTTGTGCTTTCTCTTGTAGCAAACAAACAGTTTTCAGGTCCAGGCGGCCAGCGCAGAAAGGGTGGCACGCGATTGGCTCTTGTGAAGAACGGCTTTTTGTTTTCGCTTTGGGTCAGTCATGAGTACTTAGCTCCAGATAAGAGAAGTGAAAGTGAAAAGGTCAATGCACAGAACAGAAGACAATTCACAAAGATTTAGCAGGAGGATAAGGATCTCCGTTTTATAGTCATGTGACCAGAATTTACAGCTCTCACAGGACTGGAAAGAACCGCCATGAAAATAAAGATTCTTATCCTGCTGTGTTCTATGTTTGTCATACACAATATACAATCATCTTCAGAACCATAACAGGAGGCGAGCTGTGCGGTCTGACATGTGATGAGCTCGGTGACTAGTGAGAACTCAATGTAGACCAACATCATCTTCCCTCCAATACAGGGGCACATAGGACTGAAGAGTGGCCTTCCTTACAAGGACTGTTCCATAATGACTTGGTGACACTGGCATGGCTGATCAACATGGCTGACAGGTACCCATCCTACACACCAACGTGGCCGCCAAGTACCCATCCTACACACCAACGTGGCCGCCAAGTACCCATCCTATACACCAACGTGGCCGCCAAGTACCCATCCTACACACCAACGTCCGCCTTTACCCCAACGGGGCCGCCAAGTACCCATCCTACACACCAACGTGGCCGCCAAGTACCCATCCTATACACCAATGTGGCCGCCAAGTACCCATCCTATACACCAATGTGGCCGACATGTACCCATCCTACCCGCCAATGTGGCCGCCAAGTATCCATCCTACGCACCAACGTGGCCGCCAAGTACCCATCCTACACACCAATGTGGCCGACATGTACCCATCCTACACACCAACGTGGCCACCAAGTACCCATCCTACACACCAATGTGGCCGACATGTACCCATCCTACCCACCAACGTGGCCGCCAAGTACCCATCCTACACACCAACGTGGCCGCCAAGTACCATTCCTATACACCAATGTGGCCGACATGTACCCATCCTACCCGCCAACGTGGCCGCCATGTACCCATCCTACCCACCAATGTGGCCGCCAAGTATCCATCCTACGCACCAACGTGGCCGCCATGTACCCATCCTACCCACCAATGTGGCCGCCAAGTATCCATCCTACGCACCAACGTGGCCGCCATGTACCCATCCTACCCACCAATGTGGCCGCCAAGTATCCATCCTACGCACCAACGTGGCCGCCATGTACCCATCCTACCCACCAATGTGGCCGCCAAGTATCCATCCTACGCACCAACGTGGCCGCCATGTACCCATCCTACCCACCAATGTGGCCGCCAAGTATCCATCCTACGCACCAACGTGGCCGCCATGTACCCATCATACCCGCCAACGTGGCCGCCATGTACCCATCCTACACACCAACGTGGCCAACATGTACCCATCCTACCCGCCAACGTGGCAGACAAGTACCAATCCTATACACCAATGTGGCTGACATGTACCCACCTTATATGCCAACAAGGCTGACATGCACCCATCCTATACGCCAACGTGGCTGACATGTACCCATCCTACACACCAACGTGGCTGACATGTACCCATCCTATACGCCAACGTGGCTGACATGTACCCATCCTACACACCAACGTGGCTGACATGTACCCATCCTACACACCAACGTGGCCACCAAGTACCCATCCTATATCCCAAAGTGGCTGACATGCACCCATCCTACTCACCAACATGGCCGACATGTACCCATCCTATACACCAACGTGGCTGATCTGTACCCATCCTATACACCAACGTGGCTGATATGTAACCATCCTATACACCAACATGGCTGATATGTGCCCATCTGCACACCAACGTGGCCGACATGTACCCATCCTACACACACTGTGGCTAACAAGTACCCATCCTACACACCAACCAGGCTGACATGTACCCATCCTGTACACCAACGTGGCTGACATGTACCCATCCTATACACCAACCAGGCTGATATGTACCCATCCAATACACCAACGTGGCTGACATGCACCCGTCCTATACACCCACGTGGCTGACATGCACCCGTCCTATACACCAACGTGGCCACCAAGTACCCATCCTATACACTAACAACGCTGACATGTACCCATCCTATACGCCAACGTGGCTGACAAGTACAAGTTAGATAGTGGCAGGATTGACAGATACCCCCATAACTAGGCAAGACCAACAAAACCCCAACCTACACACCAATAATCACAGAGAGGAGTCACATAACTAGACATGACTAATAGATACTAAAACCTGGACAGTGGCATGATTGGCAGAAACCTCCATAACTAGGCCATGGCTGATACCCAACCTAGTCACTGAATGACAGATAACCCTGTAACTAGGCATCACCAATGGATACCCAGCCCAGACATGTACCCCGCATTACTAGACATGACTAATAGATACCCAGCCCAGACACAGATATGTGCCCCTCATTACTAGACAAGACTAATAGATACCTAGCCTAGACACTGACATAACAGATAACCCCCCATATGTAGGCATCACTAATCGATACCCAGACACTGACATTATTGATAGGTGACCCCCAAAACTAGACATTACTAACAGATACCTAGTCTAGACCCTGACATGACTGTGTACCCCAGCAACTAGTCATAACTAATAGATACTCAGCCTCAACACTGACATGACTGATAGGTGCCCCCCAAAACTAGACATTACTGATACCCAGTCTAGATACTGACATGACTGATAGGTGACCCCAAAACTAGACATTACTAATAGATACCCAACCCAGACCCTGACATGACTGTGTACCCCAGCAACAAGGCATGACTAATAGATACCCAATATAGACACTGACATGACTGATAGGTGCCCCCCAAAACTAGACATTACTGATACCCAGCCTAGACACTGACATGACTGACAGGTACCCCCATAACTAGACATTACTAATAGATATCCAGCCTAGGCACTGACAGGTACCTCCATAACCAGCTTACACTTCCAGGCTCCCCCATAAAACAATTCCTTACCCAGCTAGCGACAGAGCAGATGCCCAGCACGGCCCCCATATCGCAGTCGGCTCCCCGAGTTCTGTTTACAAGCAGACAACAATAAGCTTTCCTTCCCTTCCTGTCTCTCTGCAGACACTGACGTCTTCTGCGTGATTACGTCACCCCTCTCTGCAGCCCGACCCCACCCATCGTCTCCAGGAGGAAGAACGACTGGCGCAGGCGCAGTAGGAAGCACCTTTCTTTGAGGCGTGAGGATGGTGTGTCTGCGCATGCGCATCTGGAATAGTCCGTTCCACAGCCTGTTCCCTGTGATCCGTAACCTGCCATTGAGCCAAGGTGCCAAAAGTCCGGCCTTGTGTTATTATATGTATATTAGAATGATTCAAGGTACAATGTAATGTAGGTGAAAGCTCAACCACACAAACCTCAGAAAAGCCTAAATATTTTAACGAATATTTGAGCAGAAATGCCACATATTGCAGCTTACCAGTCCTTAGGTGTGTTGGCTGCATTCCTTTTCAGTTTCTAAATTAATTTTCATCTGTTAATCCTGTCAGCGACACACCACCTGTCCTAGGGTGACAACACCTGCTGCACTGTAGCTATGGAGGAGCAACGTTGTCTCCCTAGGATAGGAAGTGTGTTAGAACTCCAGAACACCTCCCTCTTCATCTCCAGAGGTGTTATGTAGTCCTAACGCACTTCTTAATAACATTATTTGAGCAAGGACTGGAAAGCGCACAGCACTGGGTTTCTGACAGGATCGACGGGTGTTTTATTGCACTTCATGAACAGAAAAAAAACACACTTTCAATTGTATATTTAACAGACCAAAAGGGACCAAATAAGAGAAGTTCATTTACAGACTTTATATACACCCAACTCTGGGAATGACACAAAAACTGCCCCCCACTACACACTGCAGGGGGTAAATGCTCAGGAAGTCTATGGGGAGGGGGAATAGGGTGTAATACTTACCTGATTCCTCTTTCTGGCAGTCTCCCTCCATCTGTGTGACCGGTCCCCTGAAGCCTCTTCTCTATGGCTCTCCTGCCAAGGGTAGCACACTGCCATCATCAGGTACAATGCAGGACGGCAAGGGGGCCCATAGTGTCAGAGTTCAGGTTCTCCTCCCCTCCCGTGCTCCGCTCTGCCCCTAGGAGTGACACATAGGACTGTAGTTGATGAGGACCTTCCACTTTTGGTGGAGCTAATGTTGGCAGCAGACATTAAATGGCAGCCTCTAATAGGCTGTTTGTTAGCCAGAACACGCAAAGAGACTGGGAGAATTCAGGACATCTAGAGAAGCTGAGATTGTGTGTGTATGGATGTCGTATGATCAATGTGAAGGTCTTCTAGTGATATGCCATAGAGGTTGGATCTTATTGCCACCGCTGGAGTCTTCAGGATCATGTGAGGGCCCCACCGATGAATCCAATGGGAAGTGTCTACGCAGTTACATAGAATTCATAAGAAGGACCTTCCACTTTTGATGGAACTAACGTTGGTGGCAGACATTAGATGGCAGCCTCTAATAGGCTGTTTGTTGGCCAGAACACGCAAAGAGATTGAGAGGAGTCAGAACATCTAGAGAAGCTGAGATTGTGTTTGTATGGAGGTCGTATGATCAATGTGAAGGTCTTCCAGTGATATGCCATAAAGTTTGGATCTTATTGCCACTGCTGGAGTCTTCAGGACCATGTGAGGGTCCCATGGATGGACCTGATGGGAAGTGTCTATGTCTACGCAGTTACATAGACCTCATAAGAAGGATCTTCCACTTTTGATGGAACTAATGTTGGCGGCAGGCATTAGATGGCAGCCTCTAATAGGTTGTTTGTTGGCCAGAACACGCAAAGAGATTGGGAGGAGTCAGAAAATCTAGAGAAGCTGAGGTTGTGTGTGTATGGAGGTTGCATGATCAATGTGGAGGGTTTCCAGTGCTATGCCATAAAGGTTGGATCCTATTGCCACCTTTGGAGTCTTCAGGACTATGTGAGGGCCCCACCGATGGATCCAATGGGAAGTGTCTACGCAGTTACATAGAACTCATAAGAAGGATCTTCCACTTTTGAAGGAACTAACGTTGGTGGCAGACATTCGACGGCAGCCTCTAATAGGCTGTTTGTTGGCCAGAACACGCAAAGAGATTGAGAGGAGTCAGAACATCTAGAGAAGCTGAGATTGTGTTTGTATGGAGGTCGTATGATCAATGTGAAGGTCTTCCAGTGATATGCCATAAAGGTTGGATCCTATTGCCACCTTTGGAGTCTTCAGGACTATGTGAGGGCCCCACGGATGGACCAGATGGGAAGTGTCTACGCAGTTACATAGACCTCATAAGAAGGATCTTCCACTTTTGATGGAACTAACGTTGGCGGCAGACATTAAATGGCAGCCTCTAATAGGCTGTTTGTTGGCCAGAACACGCAAAGAGATTGGGAGGAGTCAGAACATCTAGAGAAGCTGAGGTTGTGTGTGTTTGGATGTCGTATGATCAATGTGAAGGTCTTCCAGTGATATGCCATAGAGGTTGGATCTTGTTGCCACCGCTGGAGTCTTCAGAACCATGTGAGGGTCCCATGGATGGACCCAATGGGAAGTGTCTATGTCTACGCAATACATAGACCTCGTAAGAAGGACCTTCCACTTTTGTTGGTGGCAGACATTAGACGGCAGCCTCTAATAGGCTGTTTTTTGGTCAGAACACGCAAAGAGACTGGGAGAATTCAGGACATCTAGAGGAGCTGAGATTTGTGTGTATGAAGGTTATATGATCAATGTGAAGGTTCCATAAAGGTTGAATGCTCAGGGCCCTGAAGATCTAAAGAAAAGCCTATTTTTATGGCTTGTGCTTTCATATTCAACACAACAGTCACACAATTAGAATAAGACCCGAAAGTGGTTGTGTTGTCATCTCTTGTTTTCCTTCACAACAGTTTTGATACTAAACAAAGCTTTTACTTTCTTCTGATTATTCCCAGAATGTCAAAACCGGAGCCTTGGGGCAACAAAGAGACATGGCACATCTTCCTTGTGGACAGAAGTCACACCAGTGAGTATGACGCTCCATCAGTTGTGTCTGAGCAGTGTTCAAATGTTGTACCTGCAATACCTAGAAATATCCACTAGATGTCCTCAGCTGATTATACAGTATGTATTGGAGGATGTGGAAGAACTGATAATGCAGCCCATAATAATGTGTTGGGGACTTCAGAGAATATCGGTGAATTTATTTAAAGGGATTATCCAGGAAAAAAGCACACCACCAACCAGAAATCAGGTTTCATTTGACTGGAAGGGCATCTGTAAAAAATGCATGCAGGTACCCATGGGAGCCTGTACTGAAGTTTGTGCATTGACATGTAGTGCATGCCTGCTGTGAATGCATGGCTTCCAACAGCCATGGTCACAGTCAAGGTGCTGAAAGCCAAACACGTCGACTCACAGCTGACGATCACTGTCATTTGATGATGATGGCTTGACTATGCAGTTTGCAAAAATGCTGTTTGTTCTGAGTATTTGTCTCCAAAAATACAAATAATTAGCTTCCTGACCACAATAATTCTTGTAAAGAGTTTAAAGGGTTAGTTCACTTTTCAGATGAAAATGAAAAGGTGAACTATCTCACAACACCATCCCCCCGCTACACCTATCTCCTGCTATGCCCATCTCTTGCCATTCCCACCAGTCGGTGTAGTGGGCCGGGCCATTACATAGCCCTGGAGGCTGTGTAGTATCATAATGCTCGCAATGGTGAACTATCACTGGTCAACACAGTCACATGACCATGCTGACCAGTGACAATCTCCTCTCTCTGACCAATGACCACTGATTTTTTTTAGGAAAAAGTGAACGTACCCTTTAAATATAAATACAGACAGAGACTGTACTTTAGGCAGTGCTTTTTTTTTTAAACCAAAGTTTATACATTTTTCACACTATGTCTTTAAATAAACTCACAAGCTTATAAATCATTTGTTACATATTTGGACAGGGAGGGGTGCATGTACATTCTATTTAACAGTCTGGGAGTCCATAAGGATTTAATAGGATGCAGATGGGATGCAGTCTCTTCATTAAGGCCACTTGGTCATTATAAGAGAATACATCCAACATCTCCAAATTGGCCACCCACTCACATATTTTAGTTTATTAGTTTTAATTAGAAAAAAGTCTGCACAAGCCACTGAAAACAACAGCTAAAAAAGTCAAGTGTTTTTAGTATTTTGTTCTATGCAGGGAGGTGACCCAGCTGTTCAAGTCACCAGCTCTGCCATCTGCCTGTTGACTGTAGTGAATGCAGATCATTGACTGATGACTGTAAGTAATGCAGATCATTGACTGATGACTGTAAGTAATGCAGATCATTGACTGATGACTGTAAGTAATGCAGATCATTGACTGATGACTGTAAGTAATGCAGATCATTGTCTGATGACTGTAAGTAATGCAGACCATTGATTGTAGGTAATGCAGATCACTGACTGTAGATAATGCAGACCATTGATTGTAGGTAATGCAGATCACTGACTCGAGGTAATGCAGATCACTGACTCGAGGTAATGCAGATCACTGACTCGAGGTAATGCAGATCACTGACTCGAGGTAATGCAGATCACTGACTCGAGGTAATGCAGATCACTGACTCGAGGTAATGCAGATCACTGACTCGAGGTAATGCAGATCACTGACTCGAGGTAATGCAGATCACTGACTCGAGGTAATGCAGATCACTGACTCGAGGTAATGCAGATCACTGACTCGAGGTAATGCAGATCACTGACTCGAGGTAATGCAGATCACTGACTCGAGGTAATGCAGATCACTGACTCGAGGTAATGCAGATCACTGACTCGAGGTAATGCAGATCACTGACTCGAGGTAATGCAGATCACTGACTCGAGGTAATGCAGATCACTGACTCGAGGTAATGCAGATCACTGACTCGAGGTAATGCAGATCACTGACTCGAGGTAATGCAGATCACTGACTCGAGGTAATGCAGATCACTGACTCGAGGTAATGCAGATCACTGACTCGAGGTAATGCAGATCACTGACTCGAGGTAATGCAGATCACTGACTCGAGGTAATGCAGATCACTGACTCGAGGTAATGCAGATCACTGACTCGAGGTAATGCAGATCACTGACTCGAGGTAATG